CAACTTCTCTCGTACAATTTATAGCCTCTGAAAACCCACTGGAGGGTCAACTATGAGTCAATTATAACTCGATGAAAATTACAGTCATCAGTCTGGGAGCTGAAAATACATAAGCAGGAGTGTGAAGATTTAGTCTAAACAGTTTCTCACTTTAATTTTTTTAAGTTAATTTCTGTAAACTAACAATACTATAATGGGGCTGCAAGGTTATTTGGATTTGTGGTATAGATTTATCCATTTACAGTGGCATTTTCTATCTTGTATTCCATACAGAATATGGTTAACATTGTTCATTTCTCCACCACCACCTGGGGCATTCAAGGCAAAGTCCTGAGAAATCCTGAAGAATAAACAGACTGACTTTCCGCCCTTGTGGAAAACGGTCTTAATTGTGAGTTTTAGGCATCACTGAGCTGCTTCTGACTCAAAGGAGTCCTATTCACAACAGAAGAAAACATGGCCATCACCGCCCGAGCTGCTTGTGAGATCAGAGGAAAGTAGAGGAGCAGGAGGACCGGAGGAGGGCAGAGGAAAAAGAAAAAGAGGAGCAATCGCCTCCTTAGACTCAATTCAACAAGCTGCGATGATTATTCTCCAGTTTCTCATTATAAAACTGTAGAAATCAGACAGAATATTGATTTATAGAACAAGAAAATAAATGTTATTTTTAATACTGCTTTAAAGCAGAACTTATAAGTGTCATGGGAAAAGAAATACAATAATCCAGTTGTAAACATATAGCTTAATTTAGTTCTATAACACCCTATTTAAAAGCAGTTTCACGAATATGCTGATTGAATCTTCTCAAAGTTCTAGCTTGATTCATATGCTGCCTACCTATAAAAGGTCAATGACTGACAGAGATTCCAGATTTCCTTACTACATTAAAGTGGGTGTGTTCAAACATGTTGATTCAAAGTTTGAAGCTTTAAAAGAAACTGAACCATGGATTCAATCAAGGCACAGGTATAAACCATACTTTCCTCTATATGCACTATAAATTTAATTTTATTTCCCCAAAATATGTGGTGGAATCTTAATCCACCACACTTGTTTCCACAACATTTTATCATCCTCAAATGGAATCTATTCCTAGATCAAGAAGCTGTTGTCTGAATAGAAAAAGGAACACTGCGCGGTTTAAAATTAAGAAAGTCGTGTGTCAGGGTTGTACCCTGTCTCCTTATCTATTCAGTCTGTATGCTAAGCAAATCATCAAAGAAACTTCACTTTATGAAGAAAAATGTGGCATCTGGATGGGAAGAAAGAGTCATCAATAACCTATGTTATGCAGATGATACAACCTTGCTGAATGTGAGGAGGACATGAAACACTTGCTGCAGAAAGTCAAAGACTTCAATATGTATTACATCTCAACATCAAGAAGATAAAAATCCTCACCACTGAGCCAACAGGCAACATAATGATAGATGGAGAAAAGATTGAAACTGTCAGCAATTTCATCTTACTTAGATCCACAATCAATACTCTTGGCACCAGCAGTTAAGAAATTAAAAGGCATTACACTGGCAAAGTCTGCTGTGAGAAACTTTTCCAAAGTACTGAGGAGCAGTGATGTCAATTTGAAGACTAAGGTGAAGCTGATCCAAGCCACACTCTTTTCAATTACATACTATGCTATCTGAGAGCTAGACAATGAATAAGGATGACAGAATAAGAATCTCTGCCTTTGATTGTTGGAGAAGAGCACTGAATATCCTACAGACTGCCCAAAGAAATAACAGATAAGAGAGAGAACTGTTTAAATGGATATGTGATTAGGTAATACTGTCATGACAGGAGTCCAGAATGAAGGCTGAATAGTGGAGTGGACTTGGGGGGAGGGATTGTATAACAATGAAAGAATTTTTCTTTTACTTTTCAAAGAGAAGAACAAACTTGAGGGGAGGGTTGGTCAGGGAGAAAAGTGCAACAATGAATGAATGGAAATCCAAAATCTCTGTCAATTTTCATTAAAATTAATAATAATAATAAATTTTAAAAAAATAACAGACAGGTTTTGGAAAAGGTGTAGCCAAAAATGCTCCTTAGAGGAAATGATGGTGAAGGTTCATCTCACTCACTGTGGGCATGTTTTTAGGAGAGGAGCTATTTCTTGGAAAGGGACATCACGCTTGGAAAGCTGGAGGTGCAGAAAAAGAAAGGAAGGAGATGGATTGACACAGTGAATGCAGCGATGGGTTAAAGTATGCCAGAGACAGTAAGGACGGACAGGGTTCAGATCGGTTGTTTGTAGGGTCACTGTGAATGGGGCATGACTCAACAGCACTTAACAAAAATATCACCATATGTGAACACCCTGTGAACCTCCACTCCTCTATCATGGAAGAAGTCCAGCCAGAATTGGTTCTTAGAAAAGTGGGTGGCGAGACCATCTCCCCCTGTGCATGCTATCTAAAAGATTGGTCCTGAGAGAAGGACTTCATCATGTTTGCTAAAGTTGAGGGACAAAGAAAAAGTGGAGGACCCTCAGAGAGAGTGACTGCCACTGAGGCTGGAACAATGGGCTCAGACAGAGCAATGATTTTGAGGAAGGTGCAAGTCTGGGCAACAGTGCATTCTGCTATGCACAGGGTTGCTATGAATTGGAGCCAACAAGAAGGTACACAGTTCGAAGCCAGCAATCTCCTCCTGTGCAATTTATTGCCTCTGAAAACTCACAGGAGTGTCAGCTCTGGGTCATTTCTGACTCAAAGGTGCATGGCAACAACAACAACAAACAAAGATAACACATCTGTGGTTGTAATCCCCTGAGAAAACAGGGCTTGCCAAGTTCATGAGTCCAGGTTGGTATGTTGTTGTTGTTGTTATGTGCCGTCGAGTCGCTTACGACTCATAGTGACCCTATGTACAACAGCCCTAAACTCTGCTCTGTCCTGTGCCAATTGCACTGTCTCTGACACTTCCATCCTGATTATCCCAGTCACTGAATCAATCCACCTCAGAGAGGGCCTTCCCCTCCTGCTCTGTCCCTCCACCCTCCCAAGCATGATGTCCTTCTCCAAGGTCCAGTCTCTCCTCACAACATGTCCAAAGTATGTTAGACGGAGCCTCAGAATTCTTGCCTCCAAGGAGCCACCCGGTTTAACCCTTTCCAGGACAAATCTG